GGGGCGGGGCTGGAAACGGGGGCGGAGGGGGCTTAGGGGGGCTGGGGGTTGGCTGTTGTTTTTTTGAAGGTCTTCATTTCGGCCCCTGGAGAGTGTATGGACGCGCGTCCGCAGAGGCATCGAAAGGTCTGTTTGCGCATCGGGGAAGGTGGGCGTGGCAACAGATGAAGGGCGTGTCCTCTAAGGAGGTCTGGAGAGGTGTTGTCACACGTGTCGCTGTCGACGACGATGGCAGGCGAAGAATCGAGGTCGGGGCCCGTCCGTCTGCTACATGTTGTCGATGCGTTTGCGCCTCCTCCCTCATAAAGGTTGTCCACTTGCGTCTTCTCCAGCATTGAAGGCTGGCGCACACGGTACACAACTTTTACAACCACGTGGGACGCCCAGTGCCTTTTGTCGTCGTCGCAGCGCACCGCGATCGAGTGCTCGCCCCTTTCATCGCACTCCTCCTCGTCCAGGACTTCTTCAGTGTCGTCGACGATCATCGTTGTGGATCTTGTCGTCTTGCCGTTACGTGGACACTCCGCGCCGTGTAAAGCGCTCGCGTTTGCCACGGGGAGGTCTGCAGACACCGTTTAAGACGACGTGGTCGCGGACTTCGGCATCATTGTACGCGGACCACTCTCTCCTTCTCGCCCCGGATCCGTAGCGCCCCTTGGGAGGTTTGGCGGCCTTCAGTCGCGAAGATCTTCTTCTCGCCGCGGAGCAGTGTCGTCTGGGTTGATCTCCTTCTCGCGTTGACGTCCACGCCGACCTCGTGTGTGTGGCGAGGGCGTTTCTTCATCGTCGGTGCGAACGCGGGCGATTGAGGCACAACAGTCTCGCTGGTGTTGCCCAAGCACTTCGGTACACCTGCTCGCGTTGGTCCCCAGCGCGGCGAAGGCGGTAGTTCCTCCTCTTCGAGAACGCAAGCGTGGCCACACACGACCATTAAGGGAAGCGGCAAGCATGTCTGCGCGTGGCGGCGCCCGTGGCAAGAAGCGGGAAAACATGCCCGCGGACACTCAGGGGCGGGAAACGGGTCGGCGGCATGTCCCCAAGGCGAAGAGGCTTCGTTCGGAAGAAGCATCAGCAAGCCTGCCTCTTCGGCGAGAGCGATATTGGGCTACAGCTAACGAGGAGGAGGATGACGACGTGTTTACGACGGAGGAAGAAGCAGCAGAGGACACCGTGTTGACACCTCGGGGAAGCACTCTTCAACGGTCATCTGATTAGAACGCTGCGAGGAGATTGTCGACACCCCCTCCGGAAGCGCAACAAGTGTGTGCCCACAATACCCCGAAGGCGAAGGAGGTTGTCGTCGACGTCGGCGGCGAGGACGACGAGCCCTTGGAAAGCCGTAGGCAGCGCAATGTCACACAAGGCGCCACGGCAACGGCGCTCAAGATACGTGGCGCGACTGAAGAAAGGCCACCTCAGCGTGGCCTGCTGTCCACGCCGTCTCGGCCGCGTCTGCGCAACACGGTTGTAGAGGGAGGCCCCATGGAACGCGGTGGAGGTGAGGGGGCCCAGCAACAAGCGCGCGTGGCGAGTTGGGGGGCGGTCGCTGGTGCAGCCGCTGGGTCTTTGGGCATTGTTGCTGCCGTGGCGAGAGCGAGAGAGGAGGTCCATGTTGTGGAGCAGGAGGTGCCACGCGGCGACAACAAGGGTGATAGGGAGGATGAGGACCCCCTTTTAAGCCGGGTTCGGAGGGGAGGGATGGCGAAAGATCTCGCCGAGCGTGCCCGCCTGTGGGTTGATGACAAAGCATTTTGGATGACGGGGGGGGGGAGAAGACTGTACAACATCGTCCACGAAAAGCGGGAGTACTTTGTCGCCATCGCCAGCGGGCTGCAAGCGCCTGCCGTCCCCCGGAGTGTCGTCATGCCAAAATCCGTCACGAGCCTGACAAGGATTGCAGATCCCGCACAACTGCAACAGGCGATCTCCTGCGCGACGGCAGCGGAGAACATTGCTCTACGCGTCTTGCACAGATGGGTCTTCAAGTCCGGGAACCGCCCTTGAGGATACAATCTCGCTTTCCAGTACGTGTTGGAGTTGGTGGCGACGGACATTGCGCGTGCCATGTGGTACGACGAGGAGTGGAGCAACGTCGTGAGTGTGACCGTTTGCGCGCACACAATCAACCTGAACATGGACTTGCCACTGTGGTTTGCGGGCCCGAACATCGAGGATAGGACGGAGGACGACGACATGGCGGCGCACCAAGAGTCAACCGATGTATGCATCGCGCATGCATTTCGCGCCGCGGTGCAAATGGGTGGCAACATCGACGGCGGGTTTATCTCACACGACCGTCTCTCAAGGATTGCATATTGCTTCAGGCTTTTGTTGGCGGCCAGCATGTGGTTGATGCGCATGGCGGGAATTGATCCGTGCAGCCACTATGAAGCCTTCTACTTCGCGAAGCTGGTCGCAAAGCCCACGCTCGTCTCATCCATGCATCGCTCGTTCGATTATAGACGGTCCGTCATCCGAGCCACCAACGCTATCACGGAGAGACTGGGGAATGCGAACGCCACCTTTGGAGAGTACCCCAAGTACATCCCCGACTAGGCTTCCTGCGGCATCATCTTCGGGCACGACGTGAGCATAACGGGGCCGGAGGACGCGAAGAGGAGGGATTGGTTGGGTTCGGGCCCCTTGGAGGATGACGACGACGACGATGGACAAGACGACGCGTAAGGGGGGGGGGGGAGGAGGGAGGAGGAGGGTATTGCTGCTGCTCACACGTGCAGGGCGGGAGAGGGTAACTGAACGGGTCGCGTTTGTCGGCGCGGGCTTGGGAAGTGGAGAGGGGGCAGTGCTTGGTGGCGTCGGAGATGCAGTTTTCGTGGCGAGGCGTTTGGAAAACAAATTCTTGATGGCCTCTCCCTTCGTTCCGCACTTGTACAGCATGTCGCTCTTGCTTCTAGACGCCCGACGTTTTCGGTCGTCCACTCTGGCAGGGGTGCTTTATGTGACAGCGGTCGCCGTTGCTTATGTATGTGGATATTGTGTCGATGCTGATAGTGGAGAAGCGACGGTAGACGGCGCTCTCTTCAGCACATTCTTGGAGCGAAGTAGGTGTCTGCGATCTTGTATTGTGTTGTTGTCAGCGCAGCTTGCTGCGAAAAAACTTGATTGCGCTTGGGGCGCACCTTTAATTTTATAATTTTGATTCCTTCTGTATTTCGTCAGTTTGTAGATCA